CCCCAAAACCCCAAAACCCCAAAACCCCTGTTTTATTTCTCAAGATAGAAAATAAATTGTAGTTATGTCAATTACTCAGGAAGGGCCTAATGAAGTTGTGAGGGCTAAGAGTATGGGAAAGAGACCGCAGAGGAAGACATCTTATTATTTTCTTCAAAAGCCCATATCTGCTAATAACAGTAGTAAGTCTTAATCCTAGTGATCTTGAATAGCCATGGTTAAGAGGTACAATGAATTTCAGGACAAGATAGACGAAAAGAAGGAAATAGCCAAGTCAAAGACTTATTATAAAAGTATTTAACCTTAGCTAAACTCTGTAGAAAAAGAAGAAGATGATAGAAGGAAATATACCTCAGATTATCTCAACTTCCTAGACAAGCACAAGGTTAGTGTTGTATCACAATTCTGTAGGGTAGTGAAAACTCAAGACTTTTTAAGAAAGTCTTAAATATACAAAAGGAGTCTGAGGATGACTTCTCTGAGTTCAAATTAAATGAATTCAACACTGAAGTGAAACATGAACAGTCGCCCCTCTTGCAGACAGAGAAGAAGAAAGTGTCTACTCCTTTAAAAATATCTCCAAGAAAGCCGATTCTTATCTCTGAGGAGAAGAGTAATAAACCATTTGTGGTTTTCCAAGCAAAACCTTTAGATATAAAGTTCATTGAGAACATAGGGATAGAGACCCCAATCCGGAAGTACATCAGCACTCAAAGCTGTAAACAAGGGAGAAAGAGGAACATCAAATACAGTGTATCTCCTCAGAAGATAAACTTCCTACGGATTCTGCCTAAATAAAGACTGGGTAGAGAAAAACAATGAAGAAAGAGAGATCGATAACCAAGAAAATTTAAAGTTTAAATAAAGCTGTAGAGAAGAAAGTCAAAGACTTGCATAAGGAAGCAGCCAGGATGTTTCCTTATTCCCACCATGGTGAGAGGATCACCAAGGGTAAAATACAAAGCATGGTAAACAGGCTTGATTTGGTCAAGGATCTAGCATTCTTAAAGGGAGCTAACTCTCTTGAAGTTATGGAGAAGGGCCTTAATGAACAAGAGAAGAGGAATATTACAAATTCTATCATGAGGAAAATTAAATATCAGCAACTTAAGGTAATTTTTGTAAAATTAAATTTTATACTGAGCATGCAAATTCTGAGTACTTATTCCTCGCACCTCTCACAAATCCCTTCTGACTACTAACCTCCCTCCTAGAAAATGAGAATGAGTGAGTTTAAAAGACAGGTAAAAATAGCTCAAAGGAAGGAAAGAAATAAAAGAAGTGTGCCTAAATGGACAAAAGCTGATAGAGTCAAGCAAATAAAGTAGTCATGTTTGAAATAAAATTTATAGACAGCATAAATAAATCTTTTATCGACTATATTGGAGGGATCTGCACCAAGAAGGAAGAAACTGTAGTTAAAAATGCAGAAATTAATATATCAAAGCAGAGCTATTTCTTAACAAAGCAAGAGGCTAGAGTTAAGTTATGGGATGATTTATAGGTGGCGAAGAATGATGAGGATGAGATTCCACCTACACATTTTTGACAGAGCTATACTCAAGGAATGAATATCAGGTATGGCATCTAACTATCTTTCTTTAGCCTTAGAAAAATTGGACTTAATGATGAAGAATCCATCCAAGATAGTGCTGATATACTGAAAGTTAAAGTAGCATCAAGGCTAAATTCATTACGAAGGAAGAAACAGCATTATCCTAAGATAGATGTGGCAAAGATAATATCTGGGATTATCTAATTATTTCAATTTTGTGATATTTTAAAGGGGTTTTGGGGTTTTGGGGTTTTGGGGTTTTGGGGTTTTGGGG